GGCTTTTGATATGGTCTCCCACAATATTCTTGCCAGCAAGTTAAGGGAATGTGGATTGGATAAATGGACAGTAAGATGGATAGAAAGCTGGCTAAAAGGCTGGACCCAACAGGTAGTGATCAACGGCTCGATCTCAGGATGGCAGTCGGTTTCTAGCAGAGTGCCCCAAGGTTTGGTTCTAGGACCGGTTTTGTTCAATATCTTTATGAATGACCTGGGTGAAAGGATGGATTGCACCCTCAGCAAGTTTGCGGATGACACTAAGCTAGGGGGAGAGGTAGATACGCTTGAGGGCAGAGAGAGGTTCTAGAGTGACTTAGACAAATTGGAGGATTGGGCCACAAGAAATCTGATGAGGTTCAACAAGGACAAGTGCAGAGTCCTGCACTTGGGATGGAAGAACCCCAATCATTGTTACAAGCTGGGGACCAACCAGTTAAGTAGTAGTTCTGCAGAAAAGGACCTGAGGGTTACAATGGATGAGAAGCTGGATATGAGTCAACCGTGTGCCCTTGTAGCCAAGAAGGCTAATGGCATATTAGGTTGCATTAAGAGGAGCATTGCCAGCAGATCCAGAGATGTCATTATTCCCCTTTATTCGGCTCTGGTGAGGCCACATCTGGAGTATTATGTCTAGTTCTGGGCCCCCCACTACAAAAAGGATGTGGACACAGTGGAGAGGGTCCAGCGGAAGGCAACCAAAATGATTAGGGGGCCGGAGCATATGACTTATGAGGAGAGGCTGAGGGAGTTGCGTCTGTTTAGTCTGCAGAAGCGAAGAGTGTGGGGGGATTTGATAGCAGCCTTCAACTTCCTGAAGGGAGCTTCCAAAGAGGATGGAGAGAGGCTGTTCTCAGTAGTGACAGATGGTAGAACAAGGAGCAATGGTCTCAAGTTGTGGTGGGAAAGGTCCAAGTTGGATATTAGAAAAAAACTATTTCACTAGGAGGGTGGCGAAGCACTGGAATGGGTTACCTAGGGACGTAGTGAAGTTTCCATCCCTAGAGGTGTTAAAGTCTCGGCTTGACAAAGCCCTGGCCGGGTTGATTTAGTTGGGATTGGTCCTGCCTAGAGCTGGGGGCTGGACTTGATAACCTTCTGAGGTCTCTTCCAGCTCTGTGGTTCTATGATTCTTAGGTAGATTCAGCCAGGAATGCAGGTAGGAATTTCAAACTGGGACAAAGGAATTTTTGGGTTTTTCCCTCCTTTGTTCGGGTAGTTTCTCTCCAGCTATTGAAGAGGACAGGATGTCTCCCTCTAAGAAAATACTCTTCACAGTCTGTAAGTAGGATAAAGTTTAGATAAATCTGTTAGGTTTTATTGTTTTATGGTTTGGGAAATGGGATCCAGTGTCTGTGCATTTAAAAATGAGTTTTGCTCTCTTTTGTCACTAAGTTCCTGGTCCCTGGTAAATTTCTCCTCCATTAATATATTATTTTGTTAATGTTCCATCTAGTCATTATGCTTGCAACAGGAATTTTGTGGCCATAATAAAAGTTCTTTCTCTTTTCTTTTTATTAACCTGGTATTGGTTAATTTTTGTGTCCTGGTTTGTACTTCAGGGGTGAGATTTCCCAAGTAGTCTCTCCCTGGTTGCTTTATTAATAGTGGGGTGGTGGCAGAGGTGTTTTATTCCCAAAATCTAGGTTGTTATGATTTTGGGGGAAAGTTTTATACCAAAGCCTGGTAGATAAGATTTTGGGGTACTTTTGCTCACCCCCCACTTCTGCATTCATCATGCCAGAGTGGGGAAGGAGCAATGACTTAGCCTCTAATTGAGTTTGTGCTATGAGCTGGTTTCTGGAATCATGGTGAAATTTTATGGACTAAAAGTCTCAGGGGGGTAGCAAAATTTGTTGTTTTTAAAGTTACAGATTAGTGTCCAGTGGCACCTTAAAGACTAACAAATATTAATATATATAGTATCGTGAGCTTTCGTGGACAAAACCCACTTCTTCAGATGAGATGAGCTTGAATCATGATACAAACTAACATATATATATATAATTTCTTAGTTTCTAAGGTGCTACAGGACTACTTGTTTTTATGTGTTATACAGAAGGGCAGATTAGATTATCACAAATGGTCCTTTTTGGTCTGATGAAATAGCCATTTCATAGGAATTAATTATCGCAGCAAAAAATGTTGCTTTAACAAACTGCTGTATATCAACTATTAGTGTCACCACATTCTATCCACCTCTCACCCTATTCAACTACCATCCCCACATATTTTTAATGATTACTATATCACACCTGCTAGGTCTAAAAACAGTGCTTTATGCTATGAAAGCAGTCAGAGTTCATCTAGTTTTTCAAATAAAGGTAAAAATCAGTGAAAACATTCTTTCACAACAAGTAAACTTCTTAGAGCACTTGTCATGGACAAGTTTTCAGAAAGAAAGTAACAGAATACTTGATAATATTATGTAATGATCTTTGTCAAGAATTTTCAAGAGCCATAGTGAACAGATTGTTTCAGATTGGCTAGTTGAAATACAGCCACTTATTAAGGTTGCCAAACCTGTTTTGGTTTGCTCACTGGTTGGCAGAGAAAAGCAGTAGGCCAAAGGATAACGCAAAATAACTGAAGACTCATCTGGTCTATTTAAGCTCTGAAGGAGAGGAACATACATAGAAAATTAGTTATTTTTGGCAGTGTGTGGTTCAAGTCTTTTTATTATGGAAACAACTTAAGTTTTTAGCTTAGATCATTGCCTATGTTAGTCATGAAGAAGGGCTACCTGAAATTGTTGAAAAATCTGCCAGAAGTTGGGCTCTTCTGCAAACAAAATTCTCTAAAATTATATGTAATAATGCCAGACACTTAACAGACTAAATAAATATCAGATAGCTCTCTTCTGTGTGGACATAGCCATGGCGTTTTTATTGTTTCAAATTGTTCTTCACATTGCTGCTGATAGTGCCCTTCCTAATGGAAGTTCAGCCTTCTGTCTCTGGTTTCCTGCACTCCCTGTTCTGAGTGAAAGCAGCATATATACGGCCATCCTTCAGAGAGCTTCCTCTGGATTGATTGGAAAAGAAGGAAGGCCTCTCTCTCCCCCCAACCTCACCACCTCCACAGACCTCCTTGTCCCTTGCCTTTAAGTGGACAGTTTTCTATTTTTTTCCCATTCAGTTACTAATTCTTTGTGACTAATTCCTTTCTTGCTACAAGACCATTTTCTTAATCCAATCCCAGGAATGGGGTCTTCTGGCCCCCTCTCCAGTCTTAAAAGGCACCCCAGATAGGTCCCTAGAGAATAGAGCATTTTGCACACTGAGCAGCAGCCTCCCTCTTTAGGTGACCTACGCTGTCCACACGGGGACATCAGTTGCTAGAGTAGACATTTGTGAGTGAGCCTTTATGGGATTTGTGGGTGTTTCCATGTTGTGGCTTGTAATTTTCATCTGATCCAGGTCTTTGAGACAGCTCTTCTGGAATAGTCTCCAACTCCTCTGACATTTAAAGCTCCCTCCTCCAGAGCTAGTGCGCTTTGGTATACCTATGCTGGGAAATGTGCTCCCAGATGCAGCGTAGACATATCCTATATGTCTGACAGCCATTGGAAAGGCAAGGAAAAGGTGGTGGTAGAATCTCCATCCGTAGACGCTTTTAAGGTCAGGCTTTGACAAAGCCTTAGCTGGAATAATTTAGTTGGTGTTGGTCCTGCTTTGCACAGGGAGTTGGACTAGTTGACTTCCTGAGGTCTCTTCCAACCCTAATCTTCTGTGCTTCTATGATTGGACTGTGGCATGACCTGTTTGCATGGTCATCTCCCTTAAACAACAGGCATTAGCTGCTATAACTATGGTATATAGCAGTGGTGGGCAACCCTTGGCTTACCGAGGTTCTGTGTGTTGTCCGGGAGACACTTTGTTTACTGTTGCCAGATTCCAGCCACATTTTTTTCCTACCAGTCTTACTGAAGGGGGACACACACAAAACAAGGGCACATAAAATGAGGTGCGTGCTGATTGCACAAAACATTGACTGTAAGAGCCATGCACTCCTTCTGCAGCCAAAGTGCTATTACTGTTCAATTAGCACACATTGCAAATTCTAGGTGTGCAAGTAGTTAGCAAATCTGTCCCATCCTGGGAGACTGTTTTGGTCACAACAATCTTGTTGCCTATTGAGAAGGGCCACTTATGCACCCAGTCACTAGCCTAGGTTGCTCATCGCTGGGGTGGTGAATGGGAGGGTTACTGCCCTTTCTAGACCTCCCAGCCATTCAGTTAATTAAATTGCCCATAAAGGGTTAAATCCAGAAACACTCATATGCAGGAAGTGTTGGCAGGGAGCCAGGAGAGCTAATGGGAAGAGAGTGAAAGATTTTTGCAACTGAAAAACAGTTCTGCCAGCTTTAATTGTGTGAGTTCAGGGCAGAGCTGGGAGAGAAATGGACTGAACAGGAATAAAGCTTGGATTTTCTGGCCAAAAATATTTCATTTTTACAACAGTTGGGATTAAGGATGTTAAGGACTTATCGGATAGTTGAGTCAACTAGTCGCTTCCACCCTTGCTGCCTCTACTAGATAGAGGCAGCAAAGGGCGGGGGAAAAGGGGTACTTCAAAGTGACAGTGCTGCATAGACAGGCTCCATGCAGGCCTGCTGCTTTGAAATGCCATGGTGGTGTTTGAAAGGGGCAGCGCCACACAGCTGATCCTGGGCTCTGTGCAACGCTGTCCCTTTGAAACATTGCAGTGGAGTTTCAAAGCAGCAGCACTGCATGGAGTCCGGGGTCAGCTGCTGACTCCCTAGGTGACCATCCATGCTCAATGCAGCATTTCCACAGAACCTGTAGTCAGCTGGTGAGTCCCCAGTTGATCCCGGGCACCGTGTGGCACTGCTGCTTTGAAATGCTATGCAGAGCCCGGGATCAGCTGGGGAGTCCCCAGTTAATCCCAGGTTCCATGGAAGTGCCACACGGAACCCGTGGTCAGCTGGGGAGTCCCCAGCTGACCCTGGCTCCGTACAACATTTCAAAGTGGCAGGGCCGCATCACAGGCTCCATGTGGGTGCTTCTGCTTTGAAATTCACAGGCATCCTCGCTGGGAACTCTTGTACGTTTCAAAGCTGGCACGCCGTGCACAGCCCAAGGCCAGAGGGAAGTCCTGCTGACTCCGAGCTCCACGCGGGCACTTGCACTTTAAAATGTGCTGGGGCTCTTATACATTTCAAAGGAAGAATGCAGAAAATCCATCGACTACTCAACTAGTAAATTAATCGATATTTAACATCCTTAGTTGGGATAGTCTCCAGACAATTTTATCTGCCCAACATTGTGCAAATACTATAACGGGGAAAGGTTTTTCCTCGAATAACAAACAAAGAACATCACAGTAAATTTGTTTGTCTTTCTGCTAAATCCTGTCTTATTCAGATGGGAGCAGTAGTCCTCACCTATGGAACTATTATATAAGAAATGTAAGCGGGATTTGGTCACATGATGTTATACAAAAAGCCAGTTATTGTATTGTTGCATCTCATCAAATTTTCACTTGATATAAAGAGTTGAGCTTTTAAGACCTTGCTTCTGTAAAAGGGTTCCACAAGTTTATATAACAGATTTTTTTTTTAATACTCCCAGTCTTTGCTGGATGTATTCAAATATTGAACATCCTACACAGTGCTATTCTGGCATTTGACCAGCAGATGTCACTAAATTCACAGTAACTGCCACAGAGGCTCAAAAAATTTATAAAAGCAACATTAACTTTGACATTAAAATCTGCACAAAATATAAAGCAGCATAGATCATATATGTTATCACATAGTTTTGTATGCGCATGTAAATAAACTTCAATTTACCTGCTTAAACTCTTCAGCTACAAACATCAAGAGTACATTAGTCACAACGTACAAGCACCTTCATTGTCAAAGGACAGAAGAAGGCCTGTATATGGGAGAGGAGGGGTGCGCGATGGATGCGAAAGCACCCTCCCCCACTCCATGATCCACCAAGTAAGCAGTGTGCTGCCCGAGCCTCCCTCTCCCCTGTTCTGACCAG